TGAGTGGGAACTTCCTTGGAGACTATTAATAGCAAAATACAGAATCTTCAGGTGAGTTGGTTTCAGGCTCTGTGACCTATCTTGTGTTCTCTCTCATTTATTTGGCATGAATAAAGAAGGTTGACTTACTGGGGGATAGCTAGGATAAGGCTTTAGGTAAAACTGAGCAGAAGAATTTAGATTTGATAAATTAGCTACTAGGAAGAAATCAAAGTTTTCAGAGCAAAGCCTGTTATGATAATCACTGTAATCAAGGGAAGAAGAAATTGATGCTCTCACAGTGCAGTCCGGCAGCAGGGAAGCTGGCTGGTACCAGCTACCATAATTCACCCGAGAACGATTGCAGTTTGCTAAGCCTCCCAAAGGCACCAATCTGTGGTTGTAAACAGAGGACAAGAAAGAGTCAGATAATAACGAGAAAGCAAAGGGGAAAACAGAGACAACTTGTGGAAGCAGAGTAATTGGTGAATTAAGACAAATAGGGCCAAGGGGAGATCCAGGAAAGAGCTGAGCTAGACTTAGACATTCCAAATTGTACCTAGATATTCATTGCTGCCCACTTTCATCCTTGATCTGTTTCTTAGATTAAAAAAATAATATCAGGGTTTAAAAATAATGCCATTTAGTCATAGTACTAAGGATAAAAAGAGGTGAGGATAGAGAAATCTGCATCTCCTGGATTCCATGATTACCAGATTTTGTGCTCAGTATATTAATATCATTTCCTAATTTAATTTTTACACACCTATGAAATATCTATTACCATGTCAATATTATTGATAAAGAAATTGAGGCTTAGACAATTCCAGTAATTCACCGAAGATCACACAGTACATGACAAAGCCTGAAACTGAATTTAAATATACGTTTTCAAAACCATGCTTTTTAAATCATGCTGATCTGTCATTAACTCCTTGTGCCTGCTGATTCACTTTTCCTCATGTAGAAAATACATGTTTGGAATGGCACAAGGGGCATTTAGCTATGAAGGGTATAACAGTTTCTTTTTACCTTGATCTGGTCAGGCAAAACTAAAACGGCATCTTTGTTTATGAGATTCATACTAATTGTCTTATATTAACCTGAACATTTCAGACATGTTCATGCTATTGGTTAATGGTAAAGGGAGGGGGAGGTGAATGGGAGATATCTGTAATACTATCAACAATAAAAATATATTTAAAAAGAAAACAAACAAAAACTTGTTGCAGGGTTAAATGAGATAACGTGTGATTTATCATGAATCTTTAGTTGCAAAGGAAGGGAACCCAAAATAAACTGCAAAAGAAAAAGAAAAAAATTGTTAAATGATTAAGGATATTTCTGCAATTATGAACTGCTGTGAGTACAAGTTGCTTTTGCTTTCTCAAAATCACATATACAAATATAACAAAGATTGCATGACTCCAAACAAGATAATAACATATGTAACTTTAATCAAAACCCATCTACAATACTTAGAGTGGCAGGAAATTTTGAGGGTGATTATGTAACCATTGGTAACTATTACCATATTCTCTAGCTTCCTCTAGAGCCATGGTTAGCAAACTGCGGCTCGCAAGCCACATGCGGCTCTTTGGCCCCTTGAGTGTGGCTCTTCCTAAGCCTTAGGAGTACCCTAATTAAGTAAATAACAATGTACCTACCTATATAGTTTAAGTTTAAAAAATTTGGCTCTCAAAAGAAATTTTAATCGTTGTACTGTTGATATTTGGCTCTGTTGACTAATGAGTTTGCCGACCACTGCTCTAGAGAGCAAAATACATTTTAAGTTGCTTTCCAATTCAGAGATCCAATTCAGAGATCCTATGAGCATTTAATGCTCTAATATGCCTAATAAAATTATAAATAAAAATAATAGCCATTTAACAGTATGTGAACAGCATCAATGACAGTGAGAAAAACACTTATGTAGGAAAGAAAACAGATGTGTGAGGGAACAACATGTCAAAGCTGTAACTTCATTATTTTATCAGGTTGCCACATTGTAGAACACTAAGCCAATTATTATAGCGTCAGGATTCATTAATCAAGAGCTTGAAGATATACAGGATTATATTCCTTCAATATCCATTATTTTTTCAAAGCTTGGAAATTCTTGTGGTGACTCACAGATGCTACCTTTCTTGTGATCCTCAGGTTGAACATTATGGTTCAACTCATGGTCTGTGGGAGACAGAACCATCTCTTCATAAGCTGCACATGCAAATAGAACTATTATCGCCTCCAATGCTGTTTGGAGATGAAAGTTAATATAGCTTATTTTGTTCTTTAGATTCCACATATAAGTGAGATCATGTGATATTTACTTTTCTCTGGCTGGCTTATTTCGTTCAGCATAATAATGGAAAAGAGGGAACATCTGTAATACTTTCACAATAAGGACAAAAAAGAAGTTAATAGAGCTTAATGTTTTTCCCTGCCACATGGTAACTGTTATATAAATGCACTGTCATTATTATCATTGTTGTTATTTTTATCATTATTTCAGATGTTCTCCAGCAACAACCATGTTGTTAGCTGAAGGAAATCGGAGTGCCGGAGCCACATTCACTCTCTTGGGCTTCTCAGATTTTCCAGATCTCCAGGTGCCCCTGTTCCTGGCATTCCTGATCGTCTACATGGTCACTGTGCTGGGAAACCTGGGCATGATCATGATCATCAGGACCAGTCCCCAACTCCACACCCCCATGTACTTTTTCCTCAGCCACTTGTCCTTTGTAGATTTCTGTTATTCCACTACAATTACACCCAAGCTTTTGGAGAACTTGGTTGTGGAAGAGAGAACCATCTCTTTCCCAGGATGCATCATGCAATTCTTCTTGGCTTGTTTATTTGCGGTGGCAGAAACATTCATGTTGGCAGTGATGGCCTATGACCGATTTGTGGCCGTGTGTAGCCCTCTGCTCTACACGGTAGTCATGTCCCCAAAGCTCTGTGCGTCACTAGTAGCTGGACCCTACACCCTGGGAATAGTATTTTCCCTGCCACTCACCTATTTTCTCCAGGCATTATCCTTCTGTGGGTCTAACATCATAAATAATTTTTTCTGTGAGCACTCTGCCATTGTTTCTGTCTCCTGCTCTGATCCCTACATCAGCCAAGTGCTTTGCTTTGCCATGGCCGTATTCAATGAGGTGAGCAGCCTGGTAATCATTCTCACTACTTATGTTTTCATCTTTGTCACTGTCATAAAAATGCCTTTAGCTAGTGGGCGCCAAAAAGCCTTCTCCACTTGCGCCTCCCACCTGACCACCATCACCATTTTCCATGGGACTCTCCTGTTCCTTTATTGTGTACCCAACTCCAAAAACTCAAGGCTCATAATCAAAGTAGGTTCTGTATTTTATACAGTGGTAATTCCTATGCTGAACCCTCTGATATACAGCCTCAGAAACAAAGTTGTGAAGGAGAGTGTCAGGAAATTAATTCATCGCTCAATACAATTTTGTTGAAGATTTATATTTCCAAGAGGAATTTGATTTACTATATTGAGAATTGTTCAGTGCTTCTAGTAGAGATGATGATTTAAATTACTTAGTCAATTCACCAGAATTTTAAGTCTCACTACTTATGTGATAATTTGATTTCTGTTCATTTCAGTGTGAGTTATAAGTAAAGTGACATAGTGTTGTAGGTTGAATAATGCCCCCAAAATATCCATGTCCATCCAGAAGCTCAGAATGTGACACTATTTGAGAATAGGCTCTTTGAAGATGTAGTTAATGTAAAGATTGAGATGAGATTATACTGGAATAGGCTCAAATCCAAATGATCATGTTCTTATTGAGAAAAGAACCCAAGGACACACACAGGGAAGAAGGCTTAGAGACGATGGAAGCAGAGATTGGCATTTTGCTGCCACCAGCCAAGGCAGTCCAGGAACCACCAGAATCTGGATGATGCAAAGGATTCTCTCCTAGCATCTTCAAAGGGTGCATACCCTGCCAGCACCTTGATTTCAGGCTTCTGGTCTCCAGAAGTATGAGAAAATTTCCATTGTTTTACACAACCAACGTTGGGGCAATTTACTGTAGCAACTCTAGGAAATTTACTTAACAGTAAATATGAGACCATAAAATCCAAATTTCTTGACTCTAAGTTGGCATGGTGAATTATTTTTAAATCATTCTTTAATTCCATTTAAGCAATGGGAATGTTGAGGTTATAGACGAATTCTGAAATATTATAGCTAGGAGTGTGAATATAGAAGATTAGCAATGAGAGCCTAGAGACACAATCTCTCAGATCTGGTCAACTTCTTGAGTCTCTCCACAGGGCCTCATGTACTTTTATTATAGTGTGGGAAGTGGTGTTAAACATGATGACTCTGAATATCAACTAAAATGTTGATTTTATAGAAATTTCTAGAAGGATTATAAAAAATGAGAAATCTGTAGATATTAATCTTGCAATCTGATGTGTTAAACTTGATTTTGTAATTCTATTTGTTAACACAGAGGCTATCACAATATGTTTCAGAAATAGCTTGCATAATTTTTATTTTTTTAAAGGTTAACTTTTAATTAATTACACATTTTACCTGCATGGAATATCTGCCAGACAAGTACAGCATTATTGCAACTGGTTTGATTAAAATGTACTCTATGTTGATTATTCATCTGCTGGTCTTAACCCTGTGTGTTGATCTTGAATAAAACTTTCTGACTTCACTTTATACCATAAAGATATACCACAAAACTTCGTCTTATATGTGTGAGCAAGCAGGCAATTGTAAAACATAAAGTAAACACAGATTTTATTTTTAATTTTCTTCAGTTTTAAACCAGGTTTCCACATAACTTTATCATAATATTCAGACTCGTTTAAGGGGATATGTAGTGCACAAAAGATGCATTCTTCTGTTCGCTCTTACCTCCTAAAGCACATGCAATTCAAAAAAAAAGAAAAAGAAAAAGAAAAAGAAAAAAGTCATCCTTAGTAGTGTTGGTTTATAACCACTTCCTGACTTTTGTAAGTTTCTACCTTACACAGTTACCATGTCCCAGAAGCTGTACCTCATTCTTCTGGCCGAGAGCTACACCTGGCCTCATTACATGGCTGCAATCATTTGGGAGCTTCTGGGTCTAAACTTCCAAAATGATGCCACTGTTTTGTTAGGTGACATGGTGCTGGCTGTTGGCTGGGTGCCTCAGTGTTTTCCCATGAAGTCTCTTTCGATAGTAGGTTACCCTGGCTGCCTTATGTAGCAACCTCTGAACAGTATTTGGAGAGACCTGAAGTAGAAGCTATAAGGCATCTTGGTGCCTCTGCTCCACAATCTATTTAACCTCACTCCCAACACATTTTCTTGCTAAAACAAGTCACAATTCTAATTTGCTGGATCAATCCCTGTGCTGCCTAGTGGAATTATCGCTCCTCTAAACTACTACAGCTCATGGTTCCCCTATGGGAAGCAGAGATTTAGCTGGTGGATCATTATGGATTAACAGGTAGAAGAACCACTCCCATTTCCACCCCTCACCCATAAATTCTGGGTCTCATAAATTACTGGAAAAATAGCAGTTGTATACTGGTTGCAGATTTAGAACATATAACACATTCTGGAGGCCTTTACTCCATCCCTCGAAAGTATTGCCAACAGAGCTTGTCCCATAACTGAGGTGTGAAAGGCTAGTCCAATATTCCAGGCGCACTGTTTGAATTTCTGAATACTAGGTGAGTTGTTCTTCACCACTGTCCTTCAGGGACACCCTAGGACAGGACTATAGTGTCCATTTTTGTAGAATCATCTAAAAATGAAGCCCCAATGCTTTCTTCCATATTCAGGTTGTCATAAATTCCTCATGAGGATACATTATAAGTTCAGTCTTTGAAGGACAAAGCAACAATAGCATGGATCATAGGCACCTGAACCACTTACTCATGTAAATTACTTGTGTCTTCAGGAACAGGAATGCTATCGACTGCTGTGTATGCCTAATGTTATGGGTTGGTGGGCTAGACAACGCCCAGCTGAAGAAGTGTAGGTCGCATAGTAACGTGGTAGCCTATGGTCACACATTTAGTCCCTATTAGGGTCCATTAAAAAGTCAGAAGCTGTTTCTCAAAAGGTGAATAGTTATCTGCTGTGGAAGTTGCTGCTTTGTTTTAAAATTCTAGTGGTCTAATCTGTAATTCACTATAGGGGCTTTCTAAAGTTCTGCACAATCCTTATCTGTGAATACACTTCAAGGACAATCATATAATCAGGTCATTTGTTCAAAATAACACAGAAGCTGGCATGGCAGACTGGACTTGTTTTGGGATTCACAAAAAATGGACTATATTTTGAGTAACTTTGTAAATGGGTTGGAGTAACTTGCCTAAAATGGGTGTATGCTGTCCACCAAATCAAAAGAGGCCTACTGAATTTTGGTGTAGAGGAGGCAGAATTTGAGAACTATGGCTATACCTTAGCTTTATTAATTCTAGAGGGCGCTTGGTTGCGTGCAAACAAAGGCTGATAGTTCATTTCAAGCAGCAGTTTTTCTGTGTAATTTCAAAGAAATTCTAGTCATTAAAAATGACACAAGGGACTTGGAATTTGCCTTAATTACCTGTTTTGATGCTTGTGAGAAATAAGTTGCTAGGGATTCTCCAGGGTTTGAGTCCCTGGGGCTACAAGTTAGATGTAAGGGCCTTGATGCCTCCGTTACACTCCGCTTATGAGAACAGGAGGGTGGTGGCCTGTTCCTCTGTAGCAGGTAAGTTTATTCAGGTTTCTATGAAACAGTGAACATATTTTCCAAATGTGATGATAGGGTTTTCTTTTGATAGTAAGTCACTGTAAATGCTATCCAATTCTGAGTTTATTTACATTAAAGAAAGAAGTTAACACTTGTGGAAATATTTGGCTTCAAGTCCATTGACAACCTTTTCACAAAGAACAGAGTAAACTTTCTACCTGGAAATAGATATATACTCATATCCTCCTTATATGCACTTTCTATTGGTATATAAACTTTCACAAGAAAGAGTATTAATTAATTCTGAGAGAACTCTACGTGGTAAATCTTGAGACCCTTAAGAGATGTATCTATACAATGTCTGGGCTGTAATAGAAGCTAACTCTTAGGCTATAAACCCTAATAAAGTGTATACTATACTCAGAGGTCAAAAGGAGCCATCGTTCTCCTCAACCCCTCAGTAGCTAAGGTATTCAATGAAAGAAGTCGCCTTTTCTAAACAAAAGGTGCTAAGTTGGGATTGATACATTTTCCTAGATTTCTCTATTATTTACTTTATCCTTAGAATAGAAACATATTCTCTTGAAGATTTTAGTTGATTTATGTGTACAGGCAGAACACAGCAGCATTGTATGTTCTTTTTTGAGGCAAACATTTCACTCCCCCCCCCCCCAGACTCACTATGCATTTACCTATGTGCAAACATTTTTATCAGCGGAGTGCATATTATGCTACTAGTCAGTGTGGATGTACACACTGTGATTTGATAAGCATTTCTTATGAAAACACAAATTGCAATGGAAATGCAAAGATGTTTTAGAGACTCAGCATGGCTTGTTATACCTGTAGCAATAATCTGCATGAGACATGTTCTGTATGGAATAAACTAGGACCCAAAACTCTTTTTTTATAATTTTCTTTGGTCTACCGTAGAAATTCATGATATATTTGTTGCTTACTGCCATACATTTCTTTGACAGAAACAATTCTCTTCCCTCACCCCGCCCTTCAAATGTACCGTAGTGATGGCTGCAAGAAATATGAGTGTGGAGACAATCTTTGTCCTCTTGGGTTTCACAGATTACCCAGAGCTTCAGATCCCCCTGTTCCTCGTGTTTCTGATCATGTACATCGTCACCGTGGTAGGCAACCTCGGAATGATAATGATCATCAAGATTAACCCCAAGTTTCACACCCCCATGTACTTTTTCCTTAGTCACCTTTCTTTTGTTGATTTTTGTTACTCTTCCATCATTACGCCCAAGCTGCTTGAGAACTTGGTCATGGCTGATAAAAGTATCTTCTATGCTAGCTGCATGTTGCAGTACTTCCTATCCTGCGCTGCTGTGGTGACTGAGTCCTTTTTGTTGGCAGTGATGGCCTATGACCGCTTTGTGGCCATTTGCAATCCTCTACTCTATTCAGTGGCCATGTCACTAAGGCTCTGTGTCTTGCTGGTGGCTGGGTCATATTTCTGGGGCATGTTTGGCCCCTTGGTACTCCTTTGTTATGCTCTCCAACTTAATTTTTTTGGATATAATGTAATCAACCACTTTTTCTGTGAATATACCGCTCTCATTGCCGTCTCGAGCTCTGATACACACATTCCCCACCTGCTGCTCTTTGGTTTTGCTACCTTCAATGAGGTGAGCACGCTACTGATTATACTCACTTCCTATGCTTTTATTTTTGTGACTGTACTGAATATCCGTTCTGCCAGCGGGCGTCGCAAAGCCTTCTCCACCTGTGCCTCCCACCTGACGGCCATCACCATCTTCCATGGGACCATCCTTTCCCTCTACTGTGTGCCCAACTCCCAAAACTCTCGGCAAACGGTCAAAGTGGCCTCTGTCTTTTACACAGTGGTCAACCCCATGCTGAACCCTCTGATCTACAGCCTGAGGAATAAAGACGTGAAGGATGCCTTCTGGAAATTCATAGACACAAAAGTTCCATCCCACTGAACCAACCTCAAAAGGTGTTTTCAATCCCAATGAACAATAGGAGCAGAGCCTATAACCCGTCTAAAATAGCATATATTTGCATGAGGTTTTTATAGGTGGGTGTGATGTTAATATATTGTGTATTGGTTAGCTCAAATCCCTTGATGATGCCAGAAAAGTTAACTTTGGGACGGATTCCATAGGATTTTGATCTGCAAAACATTTATGTCTTCAAATTCTATAAAAAAAAACAACCCACACATAAAAATACTACAAAGCTGAGAGGATCATCTTTACTCACCTTAGAAAAGGCCTTTCTGCTTTGTTACTGCAAGTGACCATGGGTAACTTGCCTTTAAATGTATTTGTGTTGTGTGTCACTAAAGCACGGTGTCTTTGTTGGGAGATACAGATGGATATGCTTTTTGATAAAAGGGGTAATAAGCATTGGGCAAGGATGCTTACACCTGTTGTGTGGATGATGACACAGAAGATCAAGAAACTAGTCTAGAAATGACTAAAATGATTGATTTAAGACAGGAACTTACTGTTCACTCCAAATCTAGTGCCCTTTCACTATAATACCTCTGTGGCTATGGAAATTAATTTTGTCATTTGGAAATGACAATTCCTGGAGTCACTTTAATACTTCTAGCTGTGCGTGGATATTATTTCTCAAAAGGCTGCATTCCCAGTATTATCAGGTCTGGGAATGTCTTAAGCATTATCTAGTCTAGTTCATATGTATCAGAGTGAATGTAATATACATTTTATCAGGAAATATTAAGGAATCATATTTCAGAATTTCTGTTCTAATGTTTTTATGAATGGCTAAACAAGCACAAATATCTAGTAACAAATACCTTAAAAATCAGAGCAAATTGTAGAAGAAATTCTATCTCTATAGAATTTAAAATGAATGATAGACATTATTATTAAAACAGTGTCATATCAGAACAAATAGATAGCCATGTGAGAAAAAGATAAAAATTAGATATCGTCTTTATTTCACATGCCATAAGAGAGCTCTAAGTACAGGTTTAAAATTTAGATTACATAAATATACAAAATTTCTTGGCAAGAACAATAGAAAAATATTAAATTGACAAAAGCACCACCTATATCACATAAAAGGTTTAAAATTACACTGATAAAGCTTTTGGTTCTATCATCCCAGATAATTTCTGAAGATCTGAAATTATTTCATGTTAATTTTTTAAATGAAAGAATACTGCAATAACACTCTAGTATTATCCCATATTTTGTTAGTATTCTAAGGAATACCAACTTAATTGCATAAATACATCTTAAAGGACACCCATTGATACACCCAGATAGGTTTCCTTCTTTTTCTTTCTGCCATAGATAATGTCATCCTGAAATATCCATGTTATATTTTTGATAAAGGGATTTAGAAAGTATAGAACAGAAACACAAACTGCATAATCATTGAGATGCATAAAAAGCTGACTATTTGACAATGAGTTGTATTTTCTGTACTCTTTGCTCCAGACTCAACACTCTTCCCCCAGTTATTTGAATAACTTCATAATAGTCTATGCTCAAATAGCATCTCATTGTGGTCTTACCTAACCTCTCTAAGAGATCAACCAAAGAACTTGTATGCATATATACATAACCCATGGACACAGACAATACTGTGGTGAAGGCCTGGGGTGGGTGGCTGGGGAGGCTAGATGGGGTCAATGGGGAGAAAAGGGGAACATATGTAATACTTTTAACAATAAAGATTAAAAAAAATAAATGCACCACCAAGAAAATAAAAAAAATGATTCCTTCATTTATATATAGTTCAGCATTAATTATTACCAGAAAATGATTACATATTATTTGTTTTTGTATTCTCCATTAAGTATAAATTTGTTGATAAAGAGACATTCTCTCTCTCTTTTTCTCCCAATACCTAAGATAGTACCTGTCTCAGGATAAGTCTATAATAAATATTTGTTTCTTGAATGAATAAAAGAATGATTGAATGTGCAGTTACATATTCTCATTATGTGCTCAAACCTCCTTTCCCTGGTTCCTGCACCAGAAAGAAAAGTTTGCAAAAATAGTCACCTTTTTAATTCTGATCAGTGAATATAGATTCTTCAACCAGTCTATGTTCAATGGTATTGCTTGTTACTACAGAGAGATGATATATCCTTTGAGATAAAAGTTTTAATGTATTCATGTCTGCATTATTCTTATATCAATAGCATAGGCTTGCATTTAATGGGTATGCAAAAATGTTTGCTGAATGAATGGACAGGATAAAACTTTGGTTTTAAGATTATCTAAAGGAGCATATTTGAGATACTCTTTCCCATTTATAGACAATTTCACCATGCTGTATCTGATTTTGAAAATTTAAGATTTCTATTGTAATAAACCTGACAGATAGAAAATTCAACAGAGTGGACATTTGCTTTATTTTATTTTGACTGTCCAGTTTTAATAATGCCTTCTAAAAATATTCTTATCATTCTTTCTGAACTGTCTCTTCTCTGCATTCAAATTCCTCATTGTTCTAGTATGTTTGCCTCTATCCCCAGTTCCATGGAAGGTCGTATTTTTTATTCAATAAAGATTCATGGTATTTTGTGATAGTCACCACTGATTGGGAGCTTGAACTACATCAGTAAATAAAGCAATAAAAACAATCCCTGTTTTTCTGGAGCTTTTGTTCTAGCAGGAGGGAACAAACAATATATAATAAATTCAATAAGCATTAAATATATATTTGAACCATGGTAAGTACTTTAAACACTAAATTGAGAAGTAGGTTAACCCAGAGGTATAATAGCATCGTAATTGAAGGTCTCACTAAAAATGCATTTGAGACAGCATGGAGAGAACTGGTATTATGCTAAGCAAAATAAGCCAGTCAGAGAAAGATAAGTACTACATGATCTCACTCATATATGGAATCTAGTGAAAAAAAATAAACTGATGAACAAAATAGATCCAGAGGCATAGAAGCATGGAAAAGACTGGTGATTCTCAGAAAGAAGATCGGGGTGGGTGGGTGGGGAGAGATTAACCAATTAACTGGTGAGTTTATATGCATATATGCATAGCCCCTGGACACAGACAATAGTGTGGTGAAGGCCTGGGAGAGGTGGGTGCTGGGTGGAAGGGGTCATTGGGAAAAAGGGGGACATCTGTAATACTTTCAACAATAAAGGTAAATTAACAAACAAACAAAAAAACAAACATGCATTTGAACAAACACTTCAGGGAAAACATTCCAGTGTAAAAGAAGCACTATAGAAATTATCTGAGATGATAATAGTAAAAAGGCCATAAGGAATGAGTGTGCTTTTTTTGGTTTTGTTTTGTTTTTGAAAAGTGGCAAGAAGGTCTGACTAGCTGGAGAAGATGGAGGAGGGAAAGGATAATAGAATAGGAGAGATTTGAAGGGGACTAGATCATTTTTCTGATTGAATATTGAACTTTGTAAATGTCTCTGCTTTAACTCTCAATGAATCATGATGACCTAACTGATGGATCTTGCACTTCTTCAACATAGTTAGAGTGGGTGGTATGGAGGAAGAGGGTTATTCTAGGCATATAGTAGTCACGTAGTTAACATTTGATAATGACGACTTTATAATTACGTAATTTTGGTAACTGTAGGAAGGTATAGGAGTGATCAGGGAGCTGGAGGAAGTGACTTTAAAAGATAAATTTTCATATGAAATGCCCCTCGTGCTGCTCCAGATTTCCAGTACACAAGAATAACATCAGAGAAAGGTGATTAATTTTAATTGTTTATTTCATGACCTCAAGAGCATGAGGCAATGGAGAGACTCTAGGGTCCATATCCCAAAGGTTGTGATTATAGATATAAGAATATATGTATCCCTTCCATTAGGAGAGGTCCTACCTTTGCCATCAGCAGGTTTGTTTAAGATTCAAAAGATAGATTGATATTAATTTCAATGTATGGTATCTGGAAAACAAGGTGAGAGGGGGACATTTACCCTTTAGATCTATGCAGTGCTTGAGAAATATTTAGTCACTGCAAGAGTCACATATCTGAACATGCCAGGCAGAGGATGTGCCATTGTCCTACAGAGCTTTGCAATCAGAAGGCCTGGCTCAGCTGAGCTCCCCAGTAACAGCTCCATGAACAGCAGGTGCCTAGGGTGGGGGTAAGAAGAGCTGGGAGAATTTTGGAAATGGGCATTGTCTTGCTTCCATAATTTCTCAGAGCAGTAGTCAAGGTAGACACACAAGTATTTAAATAAAATGAAGTAAGCAGAGAATAAATAGACTAGTGAAAAAAATTAAAAGATACCAGTTTTAATTAAGATTGTAAAGCAGGACACATTGGCCCTTGAGAGCAAAAATTACAACAAAATGGAGGAAAATTATAAGAAAGAATATTTCAGCTATTATATTTCCCGGATTCAAACATATAGAAAAATTTACTAGTAGTTTAACAATAGCTTTTGGGACATTACATTCAATATAGCATTAATTCTTAAAGGACTTAGATAAATTAAGAATTGTATTAAGAAAAAGTGTGAGAGAGTGTCTGACTTTGTGATGGATTGTCTTTTGAGGTTGTCTTTAATACTCAAATTTATGAGCATATGAGCAGATGGGACCCTGGAGTGTCTCAGTTTCACATATGATCTGACACCTTCAACTGATGGGCCATCTGAAGCTATTTCATGGGTTGTGGGACCAGAGAAAACCTTCCTAGAAATAATAGATAGAGGGTTTCCTAGTATGGGAGGATCTTAGAGGTGTTAGGCAGCAATTAGAGAAATATAGGGTCAGGCAAAAGTAGGCTTTTGCCCTGTAAAGTTGTGAGTGTGAGAAACACAGAGTTTATTCTTGTATTATTACTTATTAAGTATTATATTATTTTCCATACAAACCTGCTTTTACCTTGCCTTGTGTAATTCTGTATTACTATTTTGTCTCATAAAATGACTTTCTAGTGCAGTTTTTAATTCTCCTTTACAGGTGTTGAAGGGAGGGGGGAAGGAGAGGGAGAGAGAGAG